GACCGTGGTACATTACCGAGCTGGCACCGGCCGACTCGCCTGAGATGGTCACGGAAAAGGGGTCACCGCCAAACTGGCAGATGTAGAGCTTGATCCAGGCCAGGGCAAAAGCTTGGTCGAGAATGCCAGCGTTGACAACGCCCTTTTGGCGGAGCTCCTTGGAGGCCAGGAAGCCAAAGGCGCCGAGACGGTACTGTATCGACACGACGATGAAGCCCTTGTTGTTGGCGTTGATGATCTCGGACATGTCGAGGGTGCCATCGCCGAAGCCGTAGCCGCCGCCGTGAATCCACACGAGCACGGGGAGGTTGCGGGCGTTAGGCGGGGCATAGACGTTCAGGAAGAGGCAGTCCTCATTGCCGGGGACGAAGGGAACGCCGGGGACGGCGGGGTAGGCCTGGGGGCAGATGTTGCCGAAAGCGTTGGCCTGGTGGATGGGAAGACCGGCCTCGACATCGGGAAACTGGGGAGGCTTCCACCGCAGGTTCCCCGTGGGGGGTGCAGCATAACGAATGCTACGACGGGTCAGCAAGAAATCTGATCCAAGAGACCGGTGTGACGGCAGCTTACCCCTTCCAGTAGTTGAGGCCGGTGGCCGAGTCCGAGTAGCCCTGGTACTTGGCATATCCAAGGTTGACCACCAAGTTGGACCCTTGAGTGCACGAGAGCCCACCAAAGAGGGATCGCTTCTTCCCGACAAGCTGCTCCTCGGCCTCGGTAGCGTTGGCGATCAGCTCCTGGACGAACTGCAGCTGGAAGTCGACGATCTCCTCCTCTTCAGGGGCAGAACTGGCAGCAGGGGCAGCCACACTGACGGTCGCGCTCGAAACAGCGGCCGTGGTGCTCGCACCGGGAACAACACTAGCGTCCGAGACCTGAGGGGTGGGTGTTGCCAGAGCGGCACCCGAGAGGATCAACCCCGTCGCGATTTGCGAGGCGATCCACTTGAAACCGGCCATTATCGAGTATCACAGCGCCCCGAAACAAGACAAACAAAAAAACGAGTGTGAGTGGCTTCGATCGACAGAGACCGAGACCTGGCTTGTGACTGGACTTTCCCAATGTCGGGAACCGGACCATATTTTATTGTCTCCAGGTCGGCCATGCCGTGGTGCAACGCCAATGACCCGTCAAATTGCAAGTCTCCATCGGCGAAGGCAAGTCGTCTCCAGTTTTCTAATTGCGGCGCTCCAAGCACCACGCGTAGCCTAATCTCGCCATAGGCACGACACCTTTCGGGCATGGTCCGGGGGGGAAGGGGGTATAGCTCAGGGGGGAATATAGAATCCACAGTGTGCGGCTCCGCTGCCCCTCGCTTTGGGGCCCTCGCTACTGATGTTGACGCGATATCGACGCATTGTTTTATTGTCTGCATTGTTTAGGTCGATTTGACTGACTGCGTTGCGGTTGTCGCGTCTGTCTGCATTGTCTGGTCGGCGACCCGGTTTGCGGTGCACATCCCGTGCACACCCGCTTGGATCTGCGCTGCATGCTGCGCTGCAGGACGCCTGAGGGAACGGAATGGAGTCGCGCCCGTCCATCATTCAGATGAGCCGCTAGAGGCTATTGTGTAGGAAGACTCGCTTGACATCGACCAAGGTTGATCGCCTGCTGTCAAGCGGGAGGCCACCTAGATATTGGCGTTGAGGGAACTGGCCGAGGTGCGAGGTGGTGCATTTTTTACTCGTGGTCCGCTCGGGCGGGGCCCGCTGCTCGGGTGCTTTTTGCCCGACGTCTCCATTGTCCATTTGTGCGCTGGTGGTGTCCAGTGCGCCATGCTTCAACGAGCCATGCCAGTTCTGGGCGAGGTAGGCGAGCCGATATGGCGGGTCAAAGTCTGGCATGATGCAAATGACACTTCGCGGCTTTGCGGGTAAAGCCAATGTTGCTGGAGCTTGATGTTGCAATTGGTTTTCCTTCATCGAGAAACCAGTTCGGTGTGGCGTGGACGGGCGTAATCCCGGATGCCACCCACAATCCGAACCCTGGAGCGGGAGCGTGCAGGGCAGGCGCGAGGAACTTGGAAGGATTCTTCGGTGGGGTTCTGGAAGGCCAAGCCCCCATCGTCAGTGGGCAGCCACAAAACAGGCAAAACCTCCACCACACATGCAGCCCAACTTTTTACACTTCATCCCACCACCGTCGCGCCATGACACGGATCGGCGGTAGCCAAACCGATCAACTGCACAAGTTCGCAGTAGCGTATGAAATCCTTCTCTATCACTCCAGCACGGACGCTGCACCCATTTTTGCGCGCCCAACGTTTTGGAGAAGAGCTTCGCTTCCTGTCTCCGCTCGAGCTCAAAACTCGGGTCGAACGACGCTTGGGCGCCGCCAATCGAGTCCAGGCTCGCTCCAGACTCCTCTGCGACCCCGCCGTGCTGTGGCTCCTCTGCGCCCCTCCATGACCTCGGCTCACCGAAACGGGTCGCTTGCGGCTCGTTTTCGGGTTTCAACCGCGTTCTCAGTCTCGCCCCGGTTTAGCGACTGCCGCGTGTGTCATGGCCAACGCAATACGGACTCGGGGGCGGGTGTGCGGTGAACGGCATGCATCAGATATCGCGTTCTGGCAAGTCGCTCTCCAACCTCAGCATCGGCACGGCGCCAACATCGACCATGACGCATTGCAACTCCCCTCTTCACGCCACATGGCAGGGCAAGGACACCGTTGTTGCGATCACGTTGGTGGGGATGCGAAGCTTCATGATCGGCGCCGCTTCAGGGGCGTTCTCCGCCTTTCTCCATCACATCCCAGCGTGACAACCTGACGCCAAGTCGATCGTTTGTGACGGTTCGCAGCTGTGATAGGATGCCGCTGACCGGCCGGGATCCAGTTCGCTTTCAGCAAGGTGTGTCAACACACAGACACTAACGACACGCGCGCAAGAGGCAAACCCTTCCCTTTGTCCATCACATTCACCGCAAAGCAGGATGCTCCCTGACAACACCACCGCTAGGCCGAGAGAGCCCCAGCCATCAGATCTCGCCACCTTCACAAACAAATGGCACAACTCTTTGGACTGAGCGTCGATAGTTCCCCACGCTACTACACCACCAGGGGCTTGCTTGCAGCGAGGACTCGGGAGGGCTGGGCACCCAGACCTTCGGAGCACCCCGCCCCCACAAGGCCGTTCGGGTGTCGTTAGCGTTGATCCAGATATCGGACTGGTAGTATTAAGATCGCAACTCTGCCGAGTCATCGCAAGACGGATCTCTACGTGGTCCTTCTTCCCCGGATCCCCTGCGAAGTGCCAGGCCTCCGATCGAGCCCAAGCCGAGACCGAGTCGGTCCCCGAACGCCACGACCGCCCCGGGTTTTTAGGCCCCCCGTCAGTGATATCGGCCATGTCGTCCCCCGATGCGGCCCCGCCGGCGCTGCCACCCAATGCCTATGAGGATCAGAGCGGCACCATCATCGGTGTTGTGACCTTTTGCCTCGTGCTATCCACCTTGATGGTTGGCCTGCGGCTGTGGACTCGCAAGTTCATAATAGACCAACTAGGATGGGACGACTATACCATCATTCTCGGCCTGGTAAGCAGCTACATTGCGAAGAACGACATGTTGAACCACGCTAACACAGCTTCCAGATTTCAACGTATGCCTCGGGCATCTCCATCACCGACATGACCAAGTACGGCCTGGGCAAGCATGTTTATGTCATTGATCCTACCAAGATCCCGCTGTACTTCAAGGTATGCACCGTGATGGAAACCATGTGGTCCGTCAGACGAAAGCTGACCTGGACCAGAACTTCTACTTCTCCATCGTCTTCTACTGTGCATCCCTCTTCTTCATCAAGCTCGCTTTCCTTTTCCAGTACTATCGTGTCTTGGCGGTTCAGCACATGCGTATGGTTTACATCGTCGCCATCTTCATTGTCGGCGGATGGGCACTGTCCCAAACCTTCGTCGGCATCTTCACGTGCACGCCCGTCAGCGGCTTCTGGGACAAGTCGATCCCGTCGACGTGCATCCCCAACCTTCCGCAGTGGTACATCAATGCCGGCGGCAACATCATCACCGACGTTGCTGTCTTTTGTCTCCCGCTTCCTGCCATCTGGAAGTTGCAGCTCGCTAAGCAGCAACGCATCATCCTTGTCGGCATCTTCGGCCTGGGTTTCTTGTACGTATCTCTTACCCCTTTTCTTTCCCAGAAGCATACTCACGCTGCTCAGCACCGTCATCATCTCTGTCGTCCGCATCCGCTACCTCAAGCTCTTTGAGGACTTTTCCTGGGAGAACTCCCCATCCGCCATGTGGTCCATCGGCGAGCTCACCTCGGCCATCACCTGCTGCTGCCTTCCCACGCTGCGTCCCCTCATGAGCCGCTACTTCCCCAACCTCATCGGCGGCTCCACCAGTCGCAGCAACGGCGCCGGCTACAGTGGCTACGGAAAGTCGGCGGCCGGCAAGGCCACCCTCCCCTCTCGCACCGACACCGAGATGGGTGGGAAGCGCGGGATTCCTCTGTCCGGGAACGACAGCAGCGAGCGCGACTTCCCCTCCCCGAGCCACCACAGAAAGGGCAGCGTTCCGAGTCGAGATGTTGAGCTGAACGATAACCTCTCGCCCTTCCGCAGCGGGGAGGATGACTCCCGAAGCTTGGCCAGCGAGGCCAGCGAACTTGCACTGGCGCCCAAGATGCCCGGAGTCGGCGTGAGGACGTCGATTGGCCCGGCAAGGCCCGAGAATGCGGCCATGGGCAGAGTGAGGAGCTTTAGCGGGGGTGGCGTGCAAGTGCAGAGGGAGTTGTTTCAAACTGCGACGGTGGGGATGGGGAAAGCGCAGTGAGCCCAGGCGTCCTGAGAGGGGATGCGATACCAGTAATGATGTATGATACCATGGGGGGAGGTTTCGTTGAATATACGGCACATAGCGGGAATGCAGGTCCTTGTTTTGTTCATGATACCCAAGGGGGGTGGTTGGTGCAAGTTGCAGTTGGGGCTTTGTCACGGGGTTTGATAGGTTTAGTTTCTGCGACTTGATGGCATGTGAGAAGGTTGTGTAGTGTAGTGGTTATCACTTCAGATTTTGACGAGCATCATCTTCTGATAACCCCGGTTCGAACCCGGGCACGACCTCTTTTTGCATGTTTTGCTGGGCGACACGTGGAAAGATAAGGTACGGCTGACAGCTCTTGTGGAGTCTTGGGTCAGGTATTTGGTGATGCCAAGCCAAGGGGGATCTCAGGTGGGCTGATGGGAGGCTGATTCCGGGATGGTCCGAGAAAACAGCTTGCTCAAACTTGCTCACCCACATGGCGCTAGCAGCGGAAGGGGAAAACGAGCAAGATAGAAGCGCGTTACACGCGTGCTGTGAGCATGTATTTGCAGAGACGTCAAAAATTATAAATCAAGGCGTTTTGAAACCAAGGGGTTGTTGGAGGTGTCCTGTGGTTTTCTTTTCATCATTCCGGCCTGCGAAACAGCACACCGACTCCTCCAAACCAACATCCCTCGCCACCAAAAACCCGCAAATATGGATCACGGTAGCCACGACATGGGCACAATGACGACAGCGGCAGGAGCAGCAGCCACCACGGCAGCGGCCGCAGCCGCAGGCGGTCACGGCAGCATGGGCGGCCACGGCTGCAAGATCTCGATGCTCTGGAACTGGAACACCATCGACTCCTGCTTCCTCTCGTCCACATGGAAGATCACATCCACCGCCATGTTCGCCGGGTCCTGCATCGGCGTCATCCTCCTCGTCATGTCCCTCGAGCTGCTCCGCCGCTCCGTCAAGGAGTTTGACCGCTACCTTCTTCGCAAGCACGTCGAGAGCAGCGATGCTGCCAAGTGCGCGATTGGAGGGTATCGACCGAAGATTTGGGAGCAGGGTGTCCGGGCGTTGCTGCACATGGTGCAGTTTGCGGTGGCGTATTTTGTGATGTTGCTGGCGATGTATTATAATGGGTATATTATTATTTGTATCTTTATTGGGGCTTATATTGGGGCGTTTGTGTTTCAGTGGGAGACGCTTGGGCTGTAAGTCAATCCGTTCGCTTTCCCCTTTTGAGAGGTTTTGCCGGTGTTGACGGTGATGCAGCGGTGTTGACTCGACGACGGCGGCGAAGGAGCCTACTGTTTGCTGCGGGTAGGGGTGGGTGGTGGAATGATGAAGTGGTTGTTCTTGGTTTATTGTCATTGACGGGGAGCGGAATTGGTGCATGCTGTTGTGTGCAGGATGCCGGTGTTGTTGTCGTAGTTGCCGTCTTAGTGCTGAATTTGATACCCACGCTCTACATGTAGGCCTCTTTCTCCGTTGTCGCATTTTCATGCAAGTCTGGTGAGCTGGAATGGGATCTGGGACGCCCTTCTCGGACTCTTTCCTCCGGCCCCATTCAAATTGGCGATGAGGTGTGATCCTGGATGCAGCATCGTGGACTGAAACAGTCGAGTTGTTTCTCTGGGTTGTCACCATGGTTGCCTCCCGGATGACGGGGCGGTGTCCGAGAATGGTGCGCGGCATCGTGATAAACACATGGGCCCTGGTTCCTCGCAAGACTCCGAGTCACGTCCGATCCGGTCCGGTCCATGCCCTCCTTGCCAGTGTTATCAAGCCTGTGTCGTCTCCACAAATCATCAATACCAGATCGAGTCCATGTTGCCGTGCTTGCAGCTGGTGGCTGGCAAACGCAATCGGATACAGGCTTGTCGGAGGCACATGGGCCTTGAGAGAGCTGAAGGCGCCCTCTTGCTGTAGCCCTGCCAGCATTGAGTCCAACTGCAAGGAACGTGATTGGGGGGAACGGAAGTAACGGCAACAGTGAAAGGCAATCGGGGCACTCACATTGGAAGCATCTCGCTGCGGCCCCCGGGCCGGCCATGAGCCTGGCTTAGCTGAGTCCAAGCTGTCGGGTTCAGCTCCCTGCAAGGCGTGCCGCTAATCTCGATCAGGGGGACAGTTGGCATCACGGCCCCACCGAATTGCATCTGTCCAATCGCTTCAACCCCTGAAGTCCAAACATGTCGAAATATTGTTCCTTTGCCGATTGTATTGACTCCCAGCGAGATGAGAGTGATGGACCACCGACGACTGCGGAATCCAAACAATTATCGCGCTTGGCAGGTGGCCTTTGCGTCACCAGGATGGGTGAGGCATCTCGGTTCATTGTTGGCTCCGGATACAAAACAGGTTGAACTGCCTCCAAAGCCTGCAAGTCTTTTATTGAATTGGACTCCATCGTGACCAGACATCTCCCAAAAATGGCTTCGTCATTACCAACCTCGTCTCGCTGCAGTCTGGACAGCGACAAAATATCTCGACCACCTCCATCCTCCTCTTCCAACAGTCTAGAGTGCGGCATCAACGCAGCAAAATTACAGGCAGCCAACCGCTATGTCCGTTGGAACCTATTATTCCTTTTCATCATCCTCTCATTTCTTCTCTTCCCAGTATGGATGTCCCTGATTCCCTACGTCAACGAAATAACAAACCTCGTCATCGTCATCACCATGGGCCTCTTCCAACTCGTCTGGTTGGTAGCCACCATTTGCGCCATCCGTAGAACCCTCGCCATCAACGCCCGAAACAAGTCAACAAAGGCCCAAGATGTCGAGTCCAGCGGCGCCATGGCCAGCACCCGCTCACCCATTCGTCACATCGTCGCCATGACCTTGTACAAGGAACCCATGAGCGTCCTCCAAACCACAATGGACTCCCTCGTGCAGCAAAAAGACGCCGCATCTCGCCTCTCCGTCATCATAGGTATGGAGTGTCGCACGCCAGACAAGGAAGCTAAACGCGACGAAGTCTACGCCAAGTACAAGGGCAAATTTCTCCGTCTCATCGTCACCTTCCACCCCTCGGACATTCCCGGCGAGATCCCCGGAAAGTGTTCCAACATGAACTACGCCTGCCGCCAAGGACTCCAGCTCCTCCGTCAAGACGCCGACTACAACTACGAAAGATACGAGCACATCTTCACCAACTGCGACTGCGATGCCGTCTTCGATGCCGAGTACACGTCCGAGCTTGAAGCCGAGTACTCCAAGCTCGATACCGCCGACCGCCACTCCTCTATCTGGCAGTCCATCATCGTCTACAAGCGCGACTCGATGCCCTTCTTCGTCGACATCACCGGCGTCCTGCGCACCTTCTTCTTCATGGGCGTCTTGATCCCCTGGAACATCAACCCCATGTCGCACTACTCCCTCAGCGTCAAGCTGCTCGAGGAGGGCGCCTTCACCCACCCGGCCTACCAGATGGAGGACATTATCGCCCTGATCCGCTACACCATCATGACACGACGGGAAATCCGCATCCGCCCCCTGAATCTCATCTCCATCAACGGGCCAACCTCTGGCGCCAACTACGCCGACGAAATCCGAGAGTGGGCGCTTCAGATCCGCCGGTGGACCATCGGCGCTGGTGAAGTCTTTCACTACTTCGTCGTCAAGACCTACCGCATGCCTGGGCTCTACCTGTCCATCAGCTGGGCGACTCGCTTCTTCCTCTACTATGGCCTCATCCTGTGCGCCAGCGCCATCTTCTCGGTGTTTTCTCCTGTTTTTGTACAGCTTGTCAACATGGCTGCTGCTGAGCATGAGCGTCTCCTCATTAGCGATTCTCTCTTTCAGACCATCTGCTTCGCCTTCCTGGGGACGCAGTACCTGTTTTTGCTCGTTGTTACTATCTTGGTCCGTTGGGCCCTTCCTGTGCCGAACGGCAGCAGCAACAGGCAAAACACGGGTGTTTGGGTGGTAGGAAGGGGCCTGATACATTGGGTCATGATGCTGCCCACCATTCTTGCCTACAGCTTTGTAGAGCTCTATTCCTTTTTTGAGTTGGCTTTCAGGGGGAAGGATGTGTGCAAGCATAATGCCGCTAGCAAGAGCAATCTGGTTCTGGTGAAGAGTGAGGGGAGTGCATGAGATGCGGCTATGGGTCACCGCGAGAAAGTAGAAGATAGGATCATAGGCGAAACAGAGGGAATCAGCCACTCGGATGGATGAAGATGGAAGGTAAGGTATAGATTATAAAATTATCACGCTTTTTTGTTCAATTCGTTCCCCCTGGCCCGCTTTATGCGTCTGCTGCAGCTGGGTGACATCGCGGACGTGCTACCCCAGTCAGTGACTCTCCACCTTCAAACCCTCATCGGCGTGCATTACAGGCTTGCATTAAGTTGCAAGTGTCCAAACGGCCACCAAGGTCGCTGCCATGACCGAGCTCAGGAGATACCTTGAATCCACGAGACCTCCAGCACCGCTTTGTGGTGGCTGTGTAGTTGTGTCGTGACCCCAGGGGAGAAACCATCTTGCCCAAGATGCAAGGAGACTTGGTGCCTTCATTGGTGAGTTGAAGCCATGAGGATGATGGTTTGTCGCCTTAGGTATAACATGCTGCCCTGACAGCATCACGTCCTGGTTCTTGGAATTTGCCAAGGATACCAAGAAGCAGCTGCAGTAGGACGCCAGCGCAGGAGCAGCTCGCGTCCCCCGTGAAAGTTGCTCTGCTCAAATTGACTCTGTGAGCCGCTTTGGGGCGACGATGGGACCATGTCATCACGATCAACTACTAAGCGTGGACGGATCCCCGCACTGCGGTTGGCGATGTAGTGGGACATGCGTTGGGTTTGGCTGGAGCGGCTCGGCTCATTGCGTTGAATGGCGATGGGTGCATGCAATGACAAACCGGGGCCTCGAGGGAACGTCCTGTCTTTGGATTGCGTTCGGGTCGTTGCAGTCCGAAAGAGTAGCAACACAGTTGCATGACGCCGTGTCTTCGTGACGCGATGCTCTTTTCGTCTCGTGTTGTTTTGGGACCGCTGAGCCCAGACAATAGACGGAGCTATCATTGTCCGCAAATAAGAACGCCCGGAAACGATACAACCGCTTCAGCAACCGATATATGACAAGAGAAGAGATTCAAGACTCCGTGTGCCAAGCCAGAAACCGAGAAGAAGCGGCGCGCCCGGGAAGTTAGTGAGTTTCGGAGCGGTCCTCCAGCGGCGGCCCCTGCCGTTCAAAGGGCGCCGTACCCCGCACCGAGTGGGCCACCCGGCCCGGAAGATGCGGCATGCCCCACTCGGGGATGACTTTTCCAAGTTTTCTTGCTGAAAAGCCCTCCGAGTAGATTG